CTTCCCACACCAAACCATCCCTGGTGGCAGGGAAGGGGCTGCTCTTCTCACCTCAAAACTATCCCTGGTGGCTGCTCTTCCCACACAAAGCTCCTGGGAAGCCCCACGTGCCACAGACATCCCCCCCTGGATCCAGGGGTGGACACAGAGCCGGGTCTCCCCTTCCTCCCTCCCCCCAGATCAGCTCTTTTTGACGCAATCACAGCACCAGACAAAGCTTCTCTCTCAAGGTCGTCAACTCCCAGCACATCAAACCATCACAGTCTTGCCTCACACAGTGCCCTGCCCTCAGGACACACAGCCCGGGGGGGTCCCTGCCCCAGCTGGGCAGAGGGGTCCCCGTGTCCCCCCCTGTCACACCCCCAGTCCCTTCCTGGCCCTCACAGCAGAGCTGCCACCTCACACCCCCCCCCAAAACTGGCCACCAGCTCAAAGCCAACGCTGTAAAATGGAGTTTATCCCCCCCCTGTGGTGACCAGGGACCCTCATTCCCCCAACCCCACTCTGCCCCAGCTCTGCTCCGGCCCATCCTGGGAAGAGCAGCTTCCCTCATTTCCTGCAAATCCCGCTGGAAGCCGAGGATCCCCGGCACTGAGACACCCCTTGGACACTGCCTGGAGGAGGTGACAGGTCCTGCCACAGCCTGGGACAGTTCCCACCAGCCCCAGCCAGGAATTTTCCCCCCCTGGTTCACACCACGAGCCTGGAGCCGAGTCCACATGACAGACCAACCATGGGAAAACCAACCCAGCAATGAAACACGGAATTAATGCCCTGGATCTGCTGCCCCGTCCCCAGTAGGGAGCTGGGGATGGGCAGCAATGGGACAGCTCGGTTTGAGGGACTAAAACCCACAGGACTTCCCAGGACAGGGACCCCCAGCCCAGCCTGGGGACCCTCTGAGGCTGGAGCTGCCTGGAAAACCAACCCAGGGAGCAGGAACTCTTTGTTCTTCCCTGGAGCGAGTGGGCAGTGCCGGGGGAGGGTCCAGGGACCCCCAGCAGGGACTGGGACTGGTGTTTGAAGCGACTGTGAGACCTACACAGGCTTCTTAAGCGAATTAAGTCTCTCCTGGCTCTCACCTGGCAGGACAGGAGGCTGGAATAACACTCCAGGGCTGGTTTTCCAGGCAGAGCTGCTCGTGGGAAGCGCGTGTGTGCCCCAGACACGGGGTGGGCAGCTCTGTGCCAGTGACCCCTCCCGAGGAGGAAGGCTTCAAGGTGCCCTTCATCACCTTGAGGTGCCCTTCATCACCTCGAGGTGCCCTTCATCACCTTGCTCGGTGGCTGGAGCAGGGCTGGCTTCGGGCTCCCCTTCCCAGGGCAGGAGAGGAGGTTTTTCCCTCCCCTGGTTTGACGTTGGACCCTTCAGGGAGGGTCGGTGGGAGGGTCCAGCAGCAGAGTCAGGGGAATCACGGTGGGATTGAGGACGGGAGGAACACCAGGGGACCCAAAGCCAGCTCCAAATCCTACCTGGACCAGCAAAAGCCACCAGTCTCCCAACTGAAGGGGGGCCACGGGGAGCCCCCCAGCACCAGGTGAAGCCTGGTCACAGCCCCGGGAGGGGCCCGATCCTGTCAGTGGCATCTGTTCCCCAGCTCCGGGCAGGGGAGGGAAGGGGGTCAGGGATGAAGTTCTCCTCGTGCCTTTCCTTCGCTGGCTCCCAGTGCAGGGTCCTGGTCGGTCCCAGGTCCTGGCAGCTGCCACGGCCACGCCACCCTCACAACCTCTTGTCCTTCACGAGCCCGTTCCTGAGGTGCAGCCTGTGGGGGAGCAGAGCAGCACTGGGTGGGCCTGGTCCCCACACCCACTGTCCCCCCTGGCTGCTGAGGCCACCCCTGTCCCAGCAGGATTGTCCTGTTTGTCCCCACTCAGCCACATCCCTGTGGGATCCCCCAGCACAGCTCAGAGGGAGCAGCCCCAAGCACAGAGCCGGTCCCACGTGGAAGGGCTGGGTGAGGATTCACGGGACAGAGATGGGTGGGCACCCCACGATGCCCAGGTGTGGATTTAAAGTCCTTCCTGGCACCTGTAGCAATGTTTTATACCCATCTTCCAGCCTGGGGGTGAGCCCTGTGACAGCAGCTCCAGGGAGGTCACCAGTGTCCCTTCCCCTCACCCACAGTTGCTGTGTGTGTGTCATCCCTGGGAGTGCCCAAGGCCAGGCTGGAGCGCCCTGGGATAGTGGGATTTGTGGGGTGGCACTGGATGATCTCCATGTTCCTTCCAACCCAAACCATCCCACGGCCCTGTGTGCCATCCCCCTGCCCACATACCCTTCCTTCAGAGCCTTGGGCAGTTGGATTCCAGCCTCCCTCTTCCGGGCCCTGGCGCTTTTCCCGGTGTCCTCCACGTCGTACTCGCGCACGTCGTTCACCTCCTGCATCTGCCCCATCAGCACCTTGGCCACGAACAGGACGATGTACTGGGAGGGGGGAGAGACACCCTCAGACACGGATCCCAAAGGTTTGGAGCTGTTCCACCCCCTCCAGACCCCACGTGGGCAGGGCAGCTCCCCCCTGGATGCGGCTCAGACCCCCGGCAGAATTCCTGCAACTCTCCTCCCTGGATTTCATCCCATGAAATGATGGAATGAGGCAGGATGATGGAATCAGGCGCTCCCCTGCTCTGCCTGATGTGATCCCTCCACATCCACCCTTTGCACCCCCTCCCCAGTTCTTGGGGGGGTGCCAGGACGTTCACAGCCTGATCAAATCCCAGCCTGTCCCAGCCGCTGTTGTCGCTCCCTCCCCACGGATCCTTCCCCACGGAATTCCAGCACAGGAGCCTCCCCAGACACTGACAGGGGCTTCCCTCCTCCCCTCCAAAGCCTCTCCAGCCCTGCAGCCCCTGCACAGGCAGCAAGCACCGGGCAGGAGCAGCGGGGAGGGAGCAGCAAGGGCGGGGGTGACCGAGCTCCCCCCACTCACCAGGAACCAGTAGATGTTCATCAGGGTGAGGATGAGGAGCAGAGCGTTGAAGAAGAAGTAGAAGGGGATGTTTGGGACCGACTGGAGGCTGGAGTAGCAGGTGGCATAGAGGACCTTGAGGGGGAACCAGTAGAGACGGAACCAGAACCTGGCGGGGCAGAGGGGCAGGGGGGGGTTAGTGGCCCCCCAGGAGAGGAGAGACCCAGCCCAGCTTCCCCAGCACGGCCTCCTGCTCCTGGCATCTGTTTTGGGATGGGTTTGGCTCCAGGCAGGGCTTCAGCAGACCCAGTGAAAGGAAGAACATTGTTCTTGTGGGCACAGCAGGCTCAGGGCAGGGGCAGGTCCACGCTCCAGATTGTCCCAGCTGGGCGGGGGGCAGGAGGGGAGAACAGCTGGAAGCTTTTCCTAATCCTGTGCACCCCCAGTTTATCCCCCAAACTGAGCCTCTTGTTGCCCCCCTGCTTTTTGGAGCAGCCCAGGGAGGGGGAGGCAGGGCCAAAAGGACGAGGAGTGACAACCTGCAAGTCACTCATCCCCATCCTCCATCCCTTTGTTTCCCTCCTGCCTCGCCCCAAGAGGAGCAGCGAGGGCTGGAATCTGGGACAGCTCTGCCTCCCTTTTCCTTCTGGTAAAAAAAACCCAGCTCCTTGCTGCTGAACCCGGGAAAAACGGGAACAGCTCCTCCTCCCCCGGGGTCATTTGTCACGCCGGGAGCACAATTTCACAGGCACTTCAGTGGTGACAGACGCCAGAGTGACTACAGAGGGATTCCAAGCCCAGCCAAGTGACTACAGAGGGATTCCAAGCCCAGCATGGGGCCGAGCTCTGCGGGAACCTCTCCCCAAACCGACTTTGAAAGGGCTCAGTTCCCATCCCACGAATCCCAGGGCGCCGAGGGGTGTTGGGGAAGGGGGGGGGGGGGGGCACAAAAGCCGGGGGGGGGGGGGGGGGGGGGGGGGGGGGGGGGGGGGGCCACAAAAGCCGGGCAGGAGGGTCGGGAGTGGGATCAGGGGGGGTCCAAACCCACCAGCTGACGCTGAAGGTGAGGCAGCCCACGTTGGAGATGACATCGTTGAGGCGGTGATAGACCCCCCCCCCGGTGCTTGAAGTACACGTTGAGCTTGGTGAACTCGAGCTGCACGTCACTGATGTCGTGCAGGAACAGCACCAGGATCCCCACGTTGTGGTACCTGCGGGAAAACGCAGAGGGAGGGAGGGAGAGGTGGGAAGGTGGGATGGGAGGGGGGTGGGTTGGCACCCACTGCCCAAAACACTGGGGGCAGATTCCTGGAGCAATTCCGAGAGTCAGGTGAGGGTGCAGGGGATGGGGAGCTCTGGGATGGATCAGGAGGGTGGAGGAAGGGGAGAATCCACACCGGCTCTGCTCTGAGTCCAACATGTTCGCTGGGAACAGGATTCCCTGAGCAACCCAGAGAGCCAGACAGGGATAAAGAGGCTGGGAAGCACTGGGATGGCTCAGCAGGGTGGAAAAAGGGGAGAATTCTCTCCAACCCAGCTCTGAGTCCACCACAGATTCCCTGAGCAATCCAGAGAGCCAGACACAGGTGCAGGAGCTTGGGAGTTCTGGGATGGCTCAGGAGGGTGGAGGAATGGGAGAATCCACACGAACCCAGCTCTGAGTCCATCACGCCAGGAGCATATTCCCTGAGCAATCCAGAGAGCCAGACATGGATGCAGAGGCTGGGGAGCTCTGGAATGGCTCAGGAGGGTGGAAGAATGGGATAATCCACACCAGCTCTGCTCTGAGTCCAGGACAGATTCCCTGAGCAACCCAGAGAGCCAGACATGACACAGCCACGTGGGAGCAGCAGCTCAGGAGCCCTGGGATGGCTCAGGGGGGTGGAGGAAGAGGAGAATCCACACCAACCCAGCTCTGAGTCCCTCACACTGGGAGCAGACTCCCTGAGCAACAGACCCTGGCACAGCACAGCCACGTGGGAGCAGCAGCTCAGGAGCCCAGGGATGGCTCAGGGGTGGTGGAAGAAGGGCAGGAAGGGGCGAATCCACACCCAATCTGCCCTGGGGAGCAGGGGGCCCTCACCTGAAGGCGTAGGAGGAGGCGATGAGGGTGAGGGTCACCACGTGGTGCAGCAGCATGACCACCGAGTCCTTGCGCCACGTGTCCATGTAGGCCGTGGCGTAGATGGAGTGGCCATAGAAGCTGCCCTGCAGCAGGTACGCCACGGCGATGTCCGTGGGCACCTCCATGCCCTTCTTCCAGCCTGGGGGGGGCACAGAGATGCTCAGGTGAGCCCACAGCCACGATCCCAGAGCCCCTGGCAGCAGGGAAGGGGATGCAAACACCGGGGAGACCCCGCATGCCGCCGGGCTCGGGGGGTCCAGCTCCCTCCCAGGGCATCGTGGATGCAGAGCCCGGGTGGGGATCAGCTACCCTGGCTCCCAAACTCTGCCTCTGGCATCAAATTCCCTGCTGGACCTGAGAGAGAAGCCTTAATTTGGTGTCCCTGCCAAGGGATTTGGTGTCCCTGCCCATGGCAGAGGGTGATCTCCAAGGTCCCTTCCACCCCAAACCACTCCATGACTTGATCCTCTCCTGATCAATCTGCTCACCACCCTCCAGCCCCCGCTGACTCCCTCTGAAAGAAATGGTCAGAGCAGAGCCCCTCGTGCCCTTTCTGCACCCACAGCATCAGAGAAAAGGAAATTTAGGGGTTATCTCCTCCTTCTCTCACCCCCAGCTCCCATTCCCGTGGCCAACCCAGACCTCCCAATCCACCCCCAGCTCTCACTGTACCGTAAAAGACGGAGGGGGGGTCGTGGAAGAAGGGGTAGTCGGTGAAGAAGAGCAGGTAGGTGCCGTAGGACCAGGACAAGGTGTAGAAAAGCAGCTTCCAGGCACTCTCAGGCATCTTGGCAGCATCTTTCGGCTGCAGGTTGCACCATTCCCCGAAAGGCTGCAGGGAGAGGGGAGAAAAAATCATCAGAAAGGGCAAGAGGAGAGGCCTTGGGGAGCTCAGGGCAGAGATCCCCAACTCTCCAAGGGATCTGTGCTGCTCCAGGGGCAGGAATCCTGTTTTTCTACCCTTCCTTACAGCAGGAATGAGGGCAAAGGGGCTGGAGAGAGCCTGAAGCAGGGGGAAAAAAACAGGTTAGGGATCCTTCCTGGAGCCTGGCACAGTGTGCATCCCACACCCTGGGCACTGCTTCCACCCTCCAGGAGCTGGGCTGAGCAGAGGCTGCTTTTGCAGAACAGAAATGATGAATAAAATAATACAATAAAATGTCCCTCCAGCACAGGGAAACCCAGGAGAGGAAGCTGCAACAACACCATCCTGTGCAGATGGACCTTGAAAAAGCTTCCAGGAAAGAGTTTTCAGCTGGGGAGGGAAAGGCTTTGGAGAGTCCTGGGCACAGGGGCAGTGCCAGCCAGCACTGAGAGCCGGGCAGGGAAGGCTGGCACAGCAGGACCCGTTTTCCCAGCAGCTTTCCCAGCTGCCCAGCACTGAAACCCCGCTGGTATTTCCCCCCTCTGTGGTTTGCAGCACCTTCCCACCCCTTTGGGAAGCAGAGACCAGAGGCAAAGCCTCCCCAAACACAGCTGAAGGCAGGGATGGGGCATGGGTGGCTCTGGTCATGTGAACCAGGACAAAACTCTCCCACCCCGGGTTCCCCCCACACTCCCAGGGGGGAAAAGGGCCACCCAGCCCTCTGGGCCACTCGGGACAACTTGGAAAGGGTAGGAAAAGCAGCTGAGCAGCCTCGGATTTGTGGGAGTGAAGCGGAGCAGCCACCTCCACCCCCGGTGCTGCGCGTTCCCCCTGCTCACAGGGGCTCCAGGCAGGGATGTTTTCCCCCCTCTGTGGCAGCTGAGCAAGGCCAGGCCCCATCTCTGCTTCTCCTCACGGCACTGACAGCCCCCTTGCACAGCCCCCGGGGGGAGCAGGGGAGCCCCAGCCTGGGGAAGGGCTGCTCCAGGTCCGGAGGGAACACTGATAACAGAGAGAACCCCCCCTTGCCCCAGCTGGGAGCTCCTCAGGATGAGCCAGATAAGCTGGAGATGAAAACAAAATGCCTGGAAAGTAACTGTACCCCGGCCCAGGTCAGCACTTTCTGCAGCCCCTCGATGCCCCTGGGCTAAATTAAGGCCCCAGCTGTCCCCAGGCAGTGGCTGCTCTGGCTTTTAGCCCCTCTCTGGGTCCAGTTTTCAAAAGGAACTCCACTCCAAGCTTTGTCCTGGCCTCGGAGTGCTCAGTTCCAAGCTCTGAATCCCTCGGACCTGGGAGCAGCAGCCCCAGGAGCCTCCAGCCAGAGGCATCTCCCATTCAGAGCGTGGCCCTCACCGAGAGCAGGAACCACTGCCAAGGGCTCTTCCAGAGGGAGCCACGGGAGGAAAAAGAGGAGGGAGCTCGAAGGGTGAATAAATAATGCAGAGACAGAAAGTCCTGAGCCCAGAAAGCATCAATTATTTGTGTCTCCACAGAGTGGAAGGAGCTGGGATGTGGGGACAGCTCACTGGCAGAGCCACCAGTCCTTCAGGGATGCTGAGCACAGCCCCAGATCCCTGTTCATCCTGGAATGGAAGGGTTGGAAGGGACTCCAAAGATCCAGGGACTCCAAGGATTCCAGATCCCCCAGAAAGCTGGGGCAGGCACAGGGAAGGGAACCAGCAGCAGGCAGGGGACGGGGAGGGGACGGGAATGTCCCTGGAGCAGGGGGGGAGGCACAAGCCTCCGGGGGTGGAGATGAGCAAGGTGGGGGCTGTCCTCCCGTCACCCGGCTGCCGTTCCCATGGCAACGGCGCAGAAGATGCCTGTTGCTAAGGGTGACGGGGGCTGCAAGTCGGGAACGGCGGATCTGGCTCCGGCTGAAAGAGCCCGGGGCTCTTGGAACGGGGTTTCTCTTGAAGGGCAACCTCCTCTTCCTCCTCCTCCTCCTCCTCCTCCTCCTCCTCCTCCTCTTCCTCTTCCTCCTCCTCCTCCTGCGCAAACCTCCCCCGGCACCTTCTGAGGACAATTAACAGTTAATTGGGGGCTGTGCCTGTTCCCCCGGCACACGAAGGGGGGGAAGGAGAGGAGCAGGGGGTGAGAACGTGCAGCGAGAGGGGTTCGGAGCCGCGAAGAGAAGCAGGATGGAAGCTCCGCCGCTGCCCACGGCTCCGCTCCAGCGCCAAAAAAAAAAACACCCTCGTAGCGAGAAGCGAACACGTTTTCTCTCCCTTTTCGCAGCCGATCCCTGGGATCCACCAGCAGCAGGACGCGGGTGCTCCCGGCAGCCTGGGAGGGATGGGCTGGGAACTGAGGAGCTGGAATTGGCCGAGTCCCAGCCGTGCCACGTCTGAGCCCCCCCCGGGCACAGCGAGTTCCCCGGAGGGACACAAAGGACTGGCTGGCACGGGGCACCCCCGGCGCCGGGAACTGGCGGCTCTGGCTCCATGGGGATGATGGTGATGATGATGATGATGAGCAAGCAGAGCTCTGATTCAAACCCCGGCCACAACCGGCAGCTCCTGCCCCTTCCACGAGCTGCCCACGGCACCGTGTGTGGCTTCCCAGGCTCTGTCCCCTCTGTCCCCAGCCTGGACATGATCCTGGACCTCCTGCCACCTCAGGGATGGGGCACAGAGCCTGCAGGACCCCGGACTGGTTTGGATTGGAAGGGACTTTAAGGGTCATCCAGTGCCACCCCCTGCCATGGGCAGGGACATTTCCACTGTCCCAGGTTGCTCCAACCTGGTCTTGGACACTCCCAGGGATCCAGGGGCAGCCACAGCTTCTCTGGGCAACCTGTGCCAGGGCCTCCCCACACTCACAGCCAGGAATTCCTTCCTAATTCCTCATCTATCCCTGCCCTCTTTCAGGAAAAACCCAGCAAAAAGTCACCCTTCTCCAAACCCAGAGGAAGGGCTCTCCACAGCCCGTGCACCCCGGGGCAGTGACTGTCACCCCACCACGAGAAGGGAGTGAGCTGAGCAGGGGGTGAAGAGCTCCAGCTCCCACCACCCCATCCCTGCACCACTTCCCCGGGTCGGTCTCCAGACAACACTTCCCAGAGAAACACGTGGAAAAAAAGGACACTATGATGACACCAAAAAAACCCGAGCAGACATCACTGCTCCCTCGGTTCCTCACCCCTAAAGAGAGAAAAGCAGCACAAGGGTCTCCCTGAAGACCCTCCGAGCTGCCCAGGGGGCTGAGGAACCCCCAGCCCGAGCCCCGGCGCTGACACAGCAGCGCAGGGAGAGCAGCCCCCGCCGAGCCGCCTCACTCCGGGGGGGAAGAAAGGGCCCATTGTTGTGGCTTTTGTCCCGTTTGTAGCTTCCAGCGTTTGTGCTTCGGGCGAGGGGAGGAAACGGCGGCGGAGTCTCCTCCTGCTCCTCTGCCCTCCGAGTGTGTCGGGTGGTCACTGCTGGGGATGTTCTCCCCCTCCTGAGTCACACCTTGGATAAATAAATCTTGGGTGGGGAAAAGGGGCATCAGTCGCTGGAAGGGATCCCGGGAACCCTCCCTGTGCAGCTTCCCGGGGCTGCACTCCATCCCTCACTTCCAACCCGGCTTCCCCGAGCACGTTTTCCAAGGCACACGACACTGTTCCTTTCCAGAGGACACTGCAACGTCCTACAGACTTGGACACCACCAGGGAAAAAAAGAGCTGGCAGGTGTCTGGGCCAAAAGTGGAGAACATTCACCCACTGCAGAACAAATCCTGACCCACTCCTGGGCCAAAAGTGGAGAACATTCACCCACTGCAGAACAAATCCTGACCCACCCCCAGCTCCAGCTTTTACACTGAGAGGATTTTCCTCACTCATTTTGCTCTCTGTTCAAGGGTTTCAATCCCGGCAGCAGAGGTGGCTCAGGGTGGCTGAGGGCTGGAAGCCTCTACCTGGGTTTGGCTGTTCCAGCCCATCCCTGTGCCCCAGTCCCTGGGTTTTACCTGTCTGGGTTCCCTGCCCTGCTCAGGGAAGGAGAACCAGCACAGGCTGAGCTCCAGGTGATCCAGCCTTTCCCGAGTGCAGCTGCCTGGTCCTGTTTCAGCAGAGCTTGGCCTTGGTGCCCTCCAGGGTGTTTAACTAACACAGAGAGAGGAGCTCAGGTTGCTGCTTTTTAATCAAACTCCTCAGGGCTGGCTGGTGTCACACAGGGGACACACCAAGGATGTCAGGGACTGGTGGAGCTCGGACACCACGGGGGCAGGAGGACGGGGCAGAACCCAAGGAGGCACCCAGGGGTGGGAGCACTTCCCTAGAAGCAGCTTAGTCTTAATTTCTGGAGGTGGTTTGCAGCCCCAGTGAGCTCCGACAGACACATCAACCTGTTTGTGCACTCAGAATTCAGCAGGACAAAGAGCTGAGACCCTCAGGCCAGACCTGGAGGGGACAGATCCATCCCTCAGGTCTCTGCAGGGATGCCCACACCCCAGCAGAGCTGACTCTGGGGGTCCTTCCCTGCCTCATAATCCACACTTCCTCAGCTGATTGGGATCTTCCCACCCCAAAACAACCCCTCTCAGTGTTTGCCCTGAGGTTTCCACGAAGAAGCAGCAACAGGACAAAAATTCTTCACTCTAAGAAGGATGGGAAAAGCACCGACCTGGCCGGGGGGGGGCAGGTGAAAATCCACCCTCAAATCCAAACCAAACCCCTCTAATCACCTGTACAGCCTTTTCTGCTTCTCCAACCCAGCTGTGGGACCTCCTGTGCCACAGATGTTGGGGGATAAATGCTGCTGGGAGAGAGAGCAAGGAGCCCAGTGCCCCTTGTCTGACCCAACCAGGGAGCACAGCCAGGGGGAAATGGCTTTGAAACACTCATTTCTCACAGGAGCTGTGTGGCCAGAGCTCAGCAAGGTGCTCTTGGTGCTCTTGTGGTGAGAGTCACTTCCTCCTCAGACACAGAGGAGCACAAGGTTTATGGTCTGTGAGTGACAGGCAGGAAGGGAACATTCCCCAGCCACCCAGAGGGGTTGATTTTACAACCCCGAGGGTTTCAGTTCCTGCAGGGAACACAGAGAGAGTCCAAAGGAGGAAGAGGCTCCAAGTCTGCACAGGGAAGAGAAGTCCTGAGCTGGGGGGAAGTTCCCTCCCGGGGTCAAACAGGTCTTTTCTCTCCCTGATGTTCCCCCCCACCTTGAATGACCCTGTTCTGGCACTGCCCCTGTGGGGGCCACGAGGCACCAACTTGATTTTCCGATGGGTTTTAGGGGAAAGCCACAACTCCCATCCTTTCCCATGGCAACTCCAGCAGCATAGAACTGAGGAATGGCTTCCCATCCCTTTAAGACAGAGAGAGAGAGTTTTCTCTCCCTACCTGCTGCCCTGGCACTGGGAGAAAACTGATGCTGCTGGAACCCTGCTCAGCATCTCCTCAGAATCACACATGCATATGGAGCCACGGGAACCTGCTCCCAGCAACCCCCCCCCAGCCCTTCTGCAGTTACAGGTGTGACCCACTTCCCAAGGGAATGACAGCTCAGGAGCTGCCACCCCCCTCCGAGGGCACCCCGTGGGCCCCACCACACCTGGAACTGTTTGCCAGGCTCTGGAAGGGCCTCAGGCCAGGGGGGAACTGGAGCTCAAAGGGAATTGTCACCAAGAATTGCCTCAAACCTCGGGCAATCCAGCATTCCCAGGTGCTGGATGCTGCCCAGCCCAGCCAGGGGGGCAGGGAAGGAGGGGAAATTCAGCCTGGCACGACACCCCCAACACATTCCTTGCCTAAAACCACTCCAGCAGCTTCAAATGACTCCAGAGGGCTCTGACTGGACCCTGCACAAGGTCAGGACCCACCAGGATGAGCAAAGGAAGAGCCCCTCTGAGGGTGGAAGGGCTGGGATAACCTGGGACAGGGATGCAGGGAACTGCCTCTGATCCATGAGGAGCCTCCAGAGGAAGCAGCTCAGCCAGGGAATGAGGCCTGTCCTGGAGCTCCTCAAGGCCTCGTGTCCCTGAGCTCGTGGGGAGGGGGGAAAAGGGTGTCCCCTGTGTCCCCAAGGCTGCCCCCCGACCCAAAATCCTCCATCTCCACTGCTCCTGCCTTCAAAGCCCTCTCGAGGCCGGGGCAGCCCCGGAGCAGAGTCCCGAGCATCCCTCTAGGAAAGCAGCGTGGAAGGAACGGGCTGGGACGAGCCATTGGAGGGAGGGGGGAGCTCTGCTCTCCCTCCACGCGTTTTTCGCAGCGAGAAACGAAGCGGAGCTGCTCTTCCTGCTCAGGGACGTCCTGCTCGGCCCGTCCCTCGCAGGGGGCTGCGCTGGAGAGGGGACGAGGGTCAGCCAGCCCCTTCGGAGGCTGGGAGAGCCGGCCGGGAGCATCCCAGCATCCCCACGCTCGCAGGAAGGTCAGCCCGGCACTGCAGCAGCGAGCCAGCCATCCCCGGCCATCCCTCCCTCCCTCCCTCCGCCGCCGGGCAGGGAAGGACATTTTCCGTGCAAACCGCGGGGGACGGGCAGAAACGCGCCCCTCTCCTTCCACCCAGGAAGGCAACAAGCCGGGAATAACCTGGAAGGAATAACCCTCAGCCTTGTCGGGATGCAGCGATGGGGATGTGGAGGGGTGGGGGGGGGATGCTCGTTCCTCCGGGATGCAGCCGCGGGGGAAGGCAGGGAACGAGCAGGGAATAACCTGGAAGGAATAACCCTCAACCTTGTCGGGATGCAGCGATGGGAAGGCGGAGGGGAAGGGAGCTGCGGGGGGGCTCTCCCGGTGCGGGGGGGGCTCTCCCGGTGCGGGGAGATGCTCGTTCCTCCGGGACGCAGCCCCGAAGAGGGGGAGGAAGGCGTAGGGCGCATTTCCCACCCCCAATCCACGGCGGACGCGCATCCCACCCCGCGGACGGAGACGGGCGATCCCCCCCAAAGGGACGGTGTCCCCCCCCCCGGTGCCCCCCATCCCCATATCCGCGTCCCCCCCCCTCCCCGCGCGGCCGGGACTGACCCGAAAGATGCTGCGGGAGCAGGCGCAGCGCAGCGCGGTCCAGCCCAGCGCGCAGAGCCCGCACAGCAGCACCTCCGCCCAGCCCAGGTGAGCGTTCTCGGCCCAGGTCCGCCTCGCCAGCTCCCAGCCGCAGTCCCCGCAGCCCCGGGCGGCCTCGGCCAGGCTCCCGTAGCCCCGGCGGAGCAAGGTCCCGTAGCCGGGCATGGGCTCCGGAGGCGGCATCGCTGCCACGGCCGCGCTCGCCGCCCGCGGCCCCGCGCAGGCTCCGGCGGGCGGGACCGCGCTCCCCCCGCGCCGGTACCGGGCGAGAAGAGCCGCCCCCCGCCACGGCCCGGCCCCCTCCGGGCTCTGCCGGGGCTCCCCGAGGGGGCAGAGGCTCCGTTCAGCAGCTCTGCGGGGAGTTCTCGGAGCTTACGGGGTGGGTTTTGGGTTTGGTGGTTTTTTTTGTGTGTCCCGACAATGCGGCCGCTCCGCTGGAGGACGAGCTGCGAGAAGGGGCTGGAGTCGCTCCAGGAGCGAGGGACGGGGATAAATAGCGACGTTTCGGTCGCAGGAGGTGATGGAACGGTGGAGGAGCGCCCAGGGGCACCTTTGGGGGGGTCGTGGGGGTGGAAGGTGCCCGCAGCCCCTTGGCAGCCCCGTCCAACAACACGGAGCTGCTCCGGGTTCAAAATCCTGGACTAAACCTTAAACTGCCTGACCAAACCTGAAAAATCCCGGACCAAACCTTAAAAACCCCACACCAAACCTTCTCCTTTCAACGATTTTTTCACCCTCCACCATGTTGTGTTTTTTTCTTTTTTTTTCTTTTTTTTTTAATTTAATACACGAAGGGAAATGTTTCTCCAGGTTATTTTTCCCCCTTCCTCTCAGCACCAGCCCTGGAGGATCAGCACCAGCAGATCCATCCCTTCCTCACGGGGTTGACCAGGTGTGTCCCCCCCCCCCCCCCCGGCCACCCCAGCCCCGTTTGGGCACCTGTAGCAGTTTAAGGGTCTGGAATAATGGGATGCAGCTCTAAGACGCAAACACACCCTCCTCAAAGGTCACCCCCCAGGAAAGACTGAATGTCACCTCCATCATCATCACCACAGGCACCACCGAGCTGTAACTGGAACCAGCTGACAGGGAAAAGAAAGGACAAGCTAGAAATGAGTTTAATCTCATTTTGAGTCATCCAGGTTCCCCCTGGAACCTCTCCTTGCTCTGGGAAAACACAAACTGGTTCCCCTCGAGGTCCCACCCTGTCCCCCCCATGGCTCCTGCTCTGCCACTTGCTTTTATTGTTTACATTTTTAAGTCAATTTATCATGGCCCATCAAGTGGGGACGGGCTGCCCTGAGCACACAAGCCCCTTTCAGGTCTCCCTCAGACAGCTCCACAAAGGGAACATTCATCCCATGAATAAACCCCTCACTGAAAGGAGCTGCTGAGCCAAGGGAGGGGACAAAGGGCCCTTTCAGGGCCAGCACAGCCAGGGGGGCACGAAGGAAGCGCCCGTGGGACACATTTACAGTGCAAACCCCCCCTCCTCCCCCTCCCCAAATGATAATTCCCAAGATGATCCCAAATATTCCAGGGCAGGAGGGCCCAGCTGAGGGTTCCACGGTGCAGAGTCTGGCGGGTGGGACACAGGGATGAGCCCAAGGCCACGATCCCAGGGTTGAATCCCAGGACACTTCCAGCTCCCCACGTGCTCCAGGAGGGATGCCCTGGCTCCAGGACACATGTCCTGCCTCCAGGACACGCCCAAGGCTCAGGCTGAGCCTATTAGGGCAGGATTAGTTTTATTTTGGGAGTTTTCCCCCTCTCACCAGCAGTAAAACCCCCCCAGCCAGGGATCCTTCTCCCAGGGGAGGCTGAAGGTACAGGAGTTGTGGTTGGATAGACCAGAGGAAGATCCATAACTCAGGATGGATCCAGGTGCTGAGTGCAGGTGCTTAAAACCGACCCTCACACTCTCCCACCTTCAAACCCTCGGTCCTGGAGTGGAATCACCAGAATTCCAGAAATTAGGGGGGCACAAAGATCCAGAAGAGGCTTTATTAGAAATGTTCAAGGTGCCTGTGTTGCACCCTCTTGACCCAGAGTTCAGGGCCCGGGGGAGGCTTTGAGCCCCCAAAATTCAGGTGCTGGACACAGGCACAGCCCCACCCCTGCTGGAGCACCAGGGTGAGGTGAGGCCAGGCTGATCTGCAGAGGGCATTTTCCATGTTCCAGAGGGCATTTTCCGTGTCCCAGGGAGGATTTGAACAGGAAGCCCAGTGCCCAGGGGTGGGCACAGCCTGGTCCCTCAGGCACTGGGTGCGTACTGCAGGGCCAGCCGGTCGAAGTCGTTCTCCTGCAGAGGCAAAAATAAAGGAATAAATCCAAACTTTCCTGGGAATCTGATAAAACTCTGCCTTAACTGAAGAGAACAGCCCACTAAGTCCAGAGGAATTCCAGGAAACGAGATCACCTGCACTGATTTTTTTTTTCAGTCTGCTTCGTTTTCCCTCTCCCCGAATTCTATTTGATGTCTGGAATTCCCTCCATTTAATGTTTCATGGCAACAAACTTCCACTTGGATTAAGAACCTGTTTCTCAGAGCTTTTGTGGCATGGTCAGGTACATCCCACCTGGCTTGTGCTTCCCAAAAATCTCTCCCAAGGGCTGGAAAATTTAACTCAAGAGTGACAGGGCAGGGACGTGGAGCTGCCCCCTCAGGCCAGAACCCACTGGCCCCATCACAGCTCCATCTGAGGCCCAAGAAATTCAACTTTATATCATTTATTTCTATCCTGTTCTGTTCTATACCTTTGCCTGATACTCCTTGATGAAGGGGTGGTTTTTGTGAGCATCTTTCAGCTGGGACAGGTAACGATTCGTGACCTGCTGGGGCGAGAAAAACGAAGTTAAACATTCAAATAACAGGAGGAAAAGCCAAAAGTGCAACAAATCACCCCTCAAAGGGTTTGTTCACAGCTAAAAAACTGATTTTCTCAGGGTCCTCCATGTCAGCAGCCCCAGTGAAAACCAGTAAAACCTTTTAAAACCAGTCAGACCCGCACGCCCTTAATAAATAATAAAATAAAACGCCCCTAAATAAATGATAAAATACTTAAAAATAAACCTGAAATTGTGGGTTTATGTGAAAACAAAAATCAGCAAGAGCTGAGCTTAGAACTCAAATGATTTCTTTCTGCCCAGGCCTTCCTCTCAGTGTCAGGGAATTATGGAATGGTTTGGACCTTAAAGATCATCTAATTCCAAGCCCTTCCGAGGGCAGGGACATTTCCCAGGTTGCTCCAAGCCCTGTCCAAACCTGGCCCATGTCCTCAGTATTTCCATAAACTCTCCTTTAGAGGTGTCAGCTCCCCACCCCCAGAACTATTCCCAGATCCTGCTGGGAACACACAGAACTCCCAAAGCTCTCGGATCCGCCGGGAACACCCGACAAACGCGGCCTCACCTCCGGAGCCTTTCCCAGGTGCTGTGAGAGCACCACGAGGTTCAGGAGGGTCTCAGGGTGGCCACTGTCCTGCAAGGAACAACAGCCACGGAGTGCTGGGATCCACAGCAACACCCAGGCCTGCAGGGAACAGCCCTGCCCAACCCCCTGCCCTGGGAATGGGAACAGGGACGGGCACCAGGACGGGCAAGGGATGGAGGGACGGGACCAGGGAATGGGTTCCCACTGCCAGAGGGAGGGTTACATGGGATACTGGGGGGGAATTCCTCACTGGGAGGGTGGACACGGGCTGGGATGGGTTTCCCAGAGAAGCTGTGGCTGCCCCTGGATCCCTGGAAGTGTCCAAGGTTGGGTTGGGGCAACTTGGGATAATGGGAAGTGTCCCTGACCACGGCAGGGGGTGGAACTCCATGACCTTCAAGGTCCTTCCCACCCTAAACCATCCTGGGATTCCAACCCAAACCTTCCTGGGATTCCAACCCAAACAATCCTGGGATTCTACCCCAAATTATCCTGGGATTCCACCCTAAACCAGCCAGGGATTCTAACCCAAATTATCCTGGGGTTCCACCCCAAACCATTCCGGGATTCCACCCTAAACCATCCTGGGATTCCACCCCAAACCATCCAGGGATTCCACCTCAAACCATCCAGGGATTCCACCCCAAACCTTCCTGGGGTTCCACCCCAAAATATCCTGGGATTCTCCCCCAAACCATCCTGGGGTTCCACCCTAAATCTTCCAGGGATTCCACCCCAAACCATCCTGGGATTCCCCCCCAAACCACCCTGGGGTTCCACAATCATCCCCACCCTCGGCGACACCGATCCCTATATCGGCATTTCCATGAGTTTTCCCGGTGAAAGCCCTCTCTGTTCTCCCCAGGACCCCCCTGAGAGGTGGGAAGAGCAGGCAGTACCTTGTCCAGAGCCTCCTGGAGAACTCCCTCGGCGTCCTCCCACTTCCCCTGGGCCATGTAACAGGCAGCCTGCCCGTTCAGCAGCAGGAGGGTGGGGGAACACTTGTCTGCCATCTCTTGGAAAATGTAATAAGCATCTTGGAGCTTCTCCCCACCCTGCAAAACACCCCCAGGCTCATCACCTGCTGCCAAGAAGCCCCCAAAACCTCGAAGCACCGGGGCCAAAATTCATTTCTAAAGGTCATCAAGTGAAATTCTGGAGCACCAACGCTCCCTGATCCCTGTGATCTCCTGCACCACAACACAGCAGCCAGAGCAGATCAAAGAAATGCATAAATATTAAATATTAAGAACCACTTAAATGATCAAATGAGCCAGGCTTGCCTTCAGAAAGGAAAAAAAAAGAACAAACCCACTTCAAAAGAACCACTTCACGTGTCTGACATAATAAAGGAGGTGAAATGAGGGGTTTATGATTTTTTTTTTATAATTAAACACCTGGGTTTCTCAAAAGGTTCTCCATCCAGGAAGGTTCTAGATCCAGGAAGGTTCTACTGGCTGCTCCAGTTAAGAGGTGGGATTCCTCATGGAAACCAAGACCTTGAGGAAAATCCAGCCACACACTGATTAAAGGCCAGGGCTACACATGAGAGATTTCACACCAAAACCAAGTAAACTCCAAAAATAAATAATTTTGATGGTCCAACAGGTTGTTTCCTGTGCAACCTTGGACTTCAATGAATTTTAGGGGTTTTATTTTCAATCTGGCCTGCCAAGCTGAATGTTTTTGCTGCTCTAAGCACAGGAATACACCTTTTTTCTTGGAGCCTGGGAACCAGGAGCAGAGCATTCCCACACTGGGATGTCTGGGGGGTTATTTAAGTGTGGTTTAGCTCTCCCTGTGAGGGGGAAGAGCATCAGACCAGCAGGTGAGTTTGTGAAACCAAGCCCCCAGAACGTTCTGTGCATTAAAAACTCAGCCCTGGGTGTTCTGCTGGAACCAGGACGTGAAAAGAGCCCCCAGGAACAGGAGCTGCCCTGGATTTTTGGGGGCTGTAGGTCAGGGATCCCTGTCCCAGGTACCCACCACGGCCAGGTTCACCCAGGCAGTCGCCAGCTGGGTCAGAGTTGCATCCTCATCCTGCTCCTGCATCTTCTTCAGCTCCTTCCTGCAGGAGTTGGAGTCACACCAGAGAAAGAAAACAACTCCTTTAAGACACAACCAAGGGGCTGTGGTTTCTCCTCCCAGCTGGGAACGTGACAAACCCCTCAATATTTCACAGGAACAATCCATGAAACACTTCCCTGTTTTACTTCCCCAGAGATTCCTGCTGAAGGGAAGACCCAAACCTCGAGGTCCAGCCCTGCCTTTGGTCATTCCCAGTTCTGGTTTTGCAACTTGAGGAGCAAAACCAGCCGTGATTGTGTCACTGCAGGAGTTGGATTTTCCCTCCCTCGAGGCTCTTCCCACACAAACACCTCCAAAGAGCAAAGGGAGACAAACCCACCGGGCCAGGTCGAGCCTGTCGAGCTTCAGGAGGATCTGGATCATCATGGCCATGCTGCAAGGAACAAGAAAAGAGGGATTTCCACAGCTGGATTCCAGGATCCTGCTGGGATCCAGCTCGGGGGGTTGTAGGATGAGGCCCTGGACTGGATCTCCCAGGGAAGCTGTGGCTGCCCCAGCCCTGGGAGTGTCCCAGGCCAGGTTGGATGATTTTTAAGGTCTTTCCAAGCCAAATCACCGGGTGATTCCCTGGGCTGAGCCTGGGACCCTGCTCCCAGCCCCCTCCCTGCCACGCTGCCCATCTCAGCAGCCAGAGCCTGCCGGGATCCATCCCCAGGGCTCCCACATTCCCAGGGGAGCCCCGGCTTTTTTGGAAAAGCACCAAACCCCCGGGGAAGCCAAAGCCCTGAGGAGCTTCCTGGTGCTCGTGAGGCTCCTCCAAGGCCCAGGCAGTGCCCCAGTGCCCTTCCAGGAGGGCTGCACTCACCATTCCAGGCTCTCCCCCTGGTGCAGGGCCCTCAGGGCCGCGTCGGGGTTCTGCTCGTGGCAGTAGATGGAGGCGGCCACGAGCAGGAACGTGGTGTTGGCCACGTCCACACTCTTGGCCATCTTCTTGTCCAGGTCAGCCACGATGGCATCCCTGGGGAGAGAGAGGTAAAACAGCCCTGCCCACACAGTTCTGGGGCTGCCCCATCTGGATTATATCATGTTCTTTTATTTTATATCTTATTATTTATATTTATTAATATATTAACATATTTATTATATATTTAATATATTAATATATTTATTAATATATATTATTAATAATATTTTATTATTATATCATAGAATGATAATATATAATTATACAGTATATTATGCTATTCTGTGTTATACTTTGTAATATAGTGATATATCATAATAATGTTATATTTTATATTATTTCATTATATTATTTTATATTTCATTATAACACTATATCATAATATTATGGTATATCATATTAGGTTGTATTGTTATATTTTACATATTTATATATAAACATTGTTTTATATTTAATAGATATTATTTTATTATGCTACAGTACTTTATATTTTACGTACTTTTTTATAGACATTATTTTATATTTAATATAGATATTATTTTATTATGCTACATTACTTTATATTTTATGTACTTTACATATAAATACTATTTTATACTTATTATATATTATTTCATTATACTATATTATTTTATATTTTATGCACTTTATATATATATTATATTTAAGATAGATATTATTTTATTATGTTATATTATTTTATATTTTATGTATTTTATATATAAATATTATTTTATATTTAATAGATATTATTTCACTATATTATTTTATATTTTATGTACTTTTTAATAGACATTATTTTATATTTAATATATATTATTTTACTATACTATACTATTTTATATTTTACATACTTTATATATAAATATTATTTTATATTTAATATAGATATTATTTTATTATGCTACATTATTTTATATTTTAGGTACTTTCTTTATAGACATTATTTTATATTTAATATATATTATTTTATTATACTATATTATTTTATATTTTATCTACTTTATATATAAATATTATTTTATATTTAATAGATATTATTTTACTATACTATACTATTTTATATTTTACATACTTTATATATAAATATTATTTTATATTTAATATAGATATTATTTTATTATGCTACATTATTTTATATTTTAGGTACTTTCTTTATAGACATTATTTTATATTTAATATATATTATTTTATTATACTATATTATTTTATATTTTACATACTTTATATATAAATATAATATTTAATATAGATATTATTTTATTATGCTATATTATTTTATATTTTACATACTTTATATATAAATATTATTTTATATTTAATATAGATATTATTTTATTATGCTACATTACTTTATATTTTATGTACTTTATTTATACATTATTTTATATTTAATATATATTATTTTATTATACTATATTATTTTATATTTTACATACTTTATATATAAATATAATATTTAATATAGATATTATTTTATTATGCTATATTAT